GGTCCCTTTACCATTTGATATTAGCAATGACTAGAAATATTCTCTATTTTTGAAAACATCTATGGTTGATGCCTTTATCTAATTCTATTTCTACTCTATTGTGACTTCAAAGCTTGGTTGCAGCTTGAGCCAAGACATATTTCTAATTTGTGACTTCTGTCACAATTTAACATCTACTAAAACGCTACAATACTCATACTTTATCATTTTAACACATTTTAACAGTTGCTCAGTCTCCCAGACTAAAAAGTCAAAGTTTTTGTCTGTCAGATGTCTGATACTTTACATGTATATTGCATTTGGTCACAGTTGTGGTTTTGGTTGTAGCGATAGCATCGGCAATAGATGATTTTTCATTGGCTGGTTCTTGTTCTGCAAATGGCTGTGTCCAATAGATCATCAGATGTCCAGAAGCTAGGGACAAACAAAAACAAAAGAAAGAATCATGAGTATCTCTCTCATTTAGCACTCATCAATGGCATGATTTTAAAAATATAAACATCACTCCCCCAGTTTTCTCTCTCTCAGGTCCTCAGGTCCTCAGGTCCTCAGGTCCTCAGGGTCCCCTGAGGGTGAGTCTCAGTCGTCATCAGGTCAGGTCATATTTCGAGAGATGTCATCTTGGACATCAGTAGGGTCCACGCCATGGTTTTGGTCTCTCCAGATGCACATCGGTCACTTGGGTTGCTCTTTGCGATGCACTTCTGGTCAATGGTGCAGTGTCACAGTTCCTGTACACAGCTTGTTATGCAGTAGTTACTCTCTATGGTTAAGTCATTTTGATTCTACTTGAAAGACAATTTCTATTCATGCTGTTGCTAATGTCCCTCAGACAAAAGCAAGCGCAATGATTCAGTTTACTTCTCTAATTTGTGTTTTTATCAGAATCAATGTAATTACATCACACAGTACAAAATCAACAAATCAAAACAAACAATGTCAAGACAGGCCAATTAAGTCCATGACAATATAGAATTCAAATGAACATTTCTGGTCTCAAAAATACTGATTCAAGTGATAGACAATTAAAAATATTTGTTTACATTGGAGTAAACTTTTAAAATGCTTATTTCTCAGGTTCTGCTTTTGTGTGTGTGTGTGTGTGTGTGTGTGTGTGTATGTGTGTGTGTGTGTGTGTGTGTGTGTGTGTCCAGACTCCTCGAACCACCTGTAGGTCTCAAAGGTCACACTGTGGTGATGTAAACCAACTGGACACACTCTCAACTCCCCTCCAGGCCTCTCCCTGATGCTCTCCCATCACGTCTCCAGACACCTCTCTCTACCCCGGTCTCTCTCACACCCACTCAGTTCTGGAGTGGCGTGGGGAGGGGCAAGGAGGTGGCATTTTCCTTTGCTCTTTGATCTGTGACCTGTGCTGGGTGGGCGTTGCTGGGCTCCTGTGGTCTGAGCTCTCAGTGTCCACTCCCTCAGTCCAGTGACCCTGTACAGTGTGTGCCCTTGGTTCTGGAACACAACCTTATAGTCAAATTAAAAACAACAGATATCAGTTTGTGAGTGAGATTGTTTTTCTCTCTAAAGTCTAAACAATTTTGGAGCACTCTTGGTTTTTCAACATGCGCTATATAAATAAACTTATTACTTATTATCTTACTAATGATGACATTTTAAGACCAGAAACTCTTAATAAAAAACAAGACTCAAATCTCAAAAAACCCTTTTAAACTTTAAAATATGTATTATACACTTTTGTACTGTGTGTTTAATTATCTATGCGTCCTTGGGTTTCTTGAAAGACGCCATGAAATGAAATTATTTTGGAAAACATTAAAACATAACCTGAAATCAAACAAAAGATTTAGCTCCAGCTAAACTGGATTTGGTTCAATAAAACTCAATTGTGCGTCGGAACTGCCTCCTCCTGTCTCTGGGCAGCAGCAACAGGAGCAGTAGCAAGGTCAGGCGTGACCTTCAGGCTCATAGGCCAATGCTCAGGTGACGCATACAGGTGACGTGACTTCCTGTATCCGGTGAGCGTGTTTCTTGACTGCTATCACTCTGCTCTCTGTTTGCACTAACAAACACATTACAAATCCACGTATTGTACGAAATCAAAACAGGACAGCATTAGACGGTCCAACTCTGCAAATCTAATTTCTATCCCTGTAAGAAATGCAATCAACCACATTAATCGACTCTGACGTTATTTTTTAAACTTGCTATGCTTAATGTCAGATCTCTATGTAACAAATCATTTTTAATTAATAAATTGTTATCACTTCTTATGATCTTGATTTTATGCTTATGGCTGAAACATGGCTGGACCAAAATACAGGAAATGCAGTTCTAATAGAAGCAACACCACCCAATTTTAAATTCGAAACCGAAATACGAGAAAACAAAAGGGGGGGAGGCATAGCTGCAGTTTTTAGAGAGCACTTTGTCTTCCATAGAATGCCCCATTGGAAATTTTTCATCGTTTGAGTACTATTTCTTTAAAATGGAACAAAATCAATCTTCTACTCTTTTCATTGTCCTGTACAGGCCACCACAGTCATGTTGCGATTTTATTGACCATTTTACTGAACTACTTTCATTCGTGTGCACAGATTTGATAGTTTTTAGTTATTACAGGTGATTTTAAATGTACATGTTGATAATGTTGATGACATGAAATGCAAAGGAGCTGGCTTCTGTATTTTGAGACCTTTGGTTTCATTCAGCACGTGAGTGGCCCCACCCACAGCAGGGGGCACACTCTTGACCTTCTAATTACAAAGGGGGTTAATGTATCAAATGTTAATGTAGTTTGATGTTGCTTTGTCAAATCATTTCTGTGTATATTTTTGACATGTGTTTTGCTAGCAAACCACCAGCTGAATTTACAATTGTTAGAAGAAGACACATACATGAAAACACAAGTGAACTGTTCATGGGAATGCTAAATTTTGAGAAAACACCCATGCTCTACTGTTGATGAATTGTATAACTCTGTCACCACCAGTGTTCTGACTGTTCAGTGACGCCATTGCTCCCTGTGACGGTTAAAATAGTTACCAGTAAGAAAAAGGCCCCATGGACTAAGGCAGACTCGGTCAGGGCACAGAAGCAAGAGTGCCGGAGGGCCGAACGGAAGTGGCGAAAGTCCAATTTCCAGGGCGATTATGAAATCTTTAAAGTTGAGTTGGGTGAATTTAACCGGGTTCTACGTAGAACAAGAGAAATGTATTTTTCTGACATTATTGGAGGTTGCAGTAACAATTTTCGTGTTATGTTTTCAACAGTTGGTAGATTAACGAACCCCCCTGTAAAGTTGCCCCTAGAATTTTCCTCTAAATCTAGGTGAAATGAGTTCGCACAGTTTTTCGATGACAAAGTACAAGGAATCAAAAACACTATCACCCCCACAGCACGTATAACAATGCAACAGCCAGAGAAGCTTTTTGAGCTAACTCACTTTGCACCTGTGGATACTGAAACTGTCAAAAAGATAATCATGAGTCTGAGCTCCTCCACATGTAGCCTGGATATATTGCCCTCTAAATTTCTGAAGTCCGTCCTGAGCAGTTTGTTACCTTCACTGACACAAATAGTAAACATGTCTCTGTCGTCAGGAACATTTCCTATGGCCCTAAAAACAGCAGTCATAAGAGCTCTCCTAAAAAAGAGCAGTCTGGATCCTGCGGGACTTCAAAATTATCGCCCCATATCGAATCTGCCATTCATTGGAAAAATTCTTGAAAAAGTGGCCTCCCAACAACTTACTGAATTTTTAACAATGAATAATTCTTTTGATATGTTCCAGTCTGGGTTTAGACCCCACCACAGCACTGAGACCGCTCTAGTGAAGGTAACAAACGACATTCGACTTCACACTGATGCAGGTAAAGTCACAGTTTTGGTCATGTTAGATCTTAGTGCCGCGTTCGACACTGTCGACCATGAGATCCTCATGCAGAGACTGGAGGACTTGGGTTGGTGTCACTGGCACAGCCCTAGACTGGTTTAGGTCTTACCTGGAGGATAGGAAGTACTTTGTGGAGATTGGAGACTGCGTCTCAGATCATGTGGCCCTGACCTGTGGAGTACCACAGGGGTCGATCCTGGGACCTCTCCTATTTAATCTCTACATGCTGCCGTTAGGTCAGTTAATACAAAGAAACAAAGTGTCCTACCACAATTACGCCGACGACACTCAGATCTATGTCTCACTGACTGCAGGAGAACATGGACCACTGGATTTGCTCCTTCACTGTATCCAACAGATCAGTGACTGGATGCAAAATAATTTCCTCCAGCTAAATGCAGACAAAACCGAAATCATTGTCTTTGGTCCCCAGAAACAAAGAGAGGGCGTCATTTGTCAACTTCAGTCTCTCTCCCTACTTCCTTCAGACAAGGTCAGAAATCTGGGGGTAATACTGGACTCAGACCTAAACTTCAATAGCCACATAAAATCAATAACATCAACAGCTTTTTACCATCTGAAGAACATTGCCAAAGTTAGAAATATAGTGTCCAGGGCAGACTTGGAGATTCTTGTCCATCTGACTTTCCCACCTGGGCTGTACACCGTGGGCCTAGACGTGTTCAGTTTCGGTTTGTAGCGTAGTTTTCGAAAAGTCTCTTCAGCCATAACGGTGGTATCTGCCCCAGTGTCAATTTTAAAATCCACTGCAGTGCCATTCACAAGTAGCTCTACATCCCAGTCAGTATCAGCGTTTGACTCCACAATGATGTTTGGCTTAGACTTAGTGGTTGCTCCCAAGAATAGTTCTCCAATGAAAAATGAATCTTCATCTGAGTCCATACCAGTCTCTGCTCTGACTTCTTTCAGCATCTTGGACTTACACACGGCCTCGAAATGTCCCATTTTATTGCATTTTCTGCACCTTTTGTTACGGGCTGGACAGCTTTCCTTTTTAATCATGCATCCTGTTGCATCTCTGACAGTTAAGTTTATTCTCATTGTATTTCTGTCCATATCCCTGGTGCGGTTTATCATAGCTCCTCCTTGTGCTATTGTATTGTTTCTGTCTCACCTCATTCACTGTAATTTCCACACGCTCTGCACTTTGTTGTTTCACCTGTTCACTTTGACGTGCAAGTTGGATGGCTCGCTCCAGTGTCAGGTCCGCCTCTAACTGGAGTTTTTGAGAAACCTCTTTGTCCATTATTCCAATAACAATCCGGTCCCGGATCTGCTCGTCCTTCCCCGCACCGAACTCACAATGCTGTGCAAGCTCGTACAGGCTCCGCACGAAAGCTTCGACTGCCTCACCGGCCCTTTGGCTCCGCTTATGAAAACAGGCGCGATCGTGGATGACGTTTCTCTTCGGGACAAAGTGTTCATCAAACTTCTGAATAACCAGATTAAAGTCGTACTCTGGATGTGGCATGGCCTCGGTCGCCGCAGGAAACACAAATGAGCCGTAAATAGGTTCGGCATCTCTCCCCATAGAGTACAAGAGCGAGTTCACCTGCACTTCGCCGCTCTCCTTGTCAAGTTTTGATGCGACTCGAAACCGGGAGAATCTCTGCCGCCACATGAGCCACTCCGCTGGCTGCGTGAAATCAAAAGGCTCGGGAGGTCCAAACTTTGCCATCGTGCTCTCAATGTCGGCGTGAAGTCGTCAATTCTGACACCATGTCATAATATGAGGCAAGACACGCGTTGTGGTCTTCTTCAGAAAAGCCTTTATTGCACTACAGCATGGGGTAACGTCAGCCATGTGTCAGACTCAGTTCTCAACTGGAATTCTAGTGCCCCCTCCTGGTTAGCATACCCAACTACGGTAACATACAATGGACAAAAGACCATCTCACAACACGTAAAGAGCAGTTTATTTTATGACACAGATGACACTTGACACTTTTTACAGAAGCAATGCTGTTTGTGAACATTGTTTTAGCCCACCATAGAACTATTATTATACAATACAATACAATTTATTCTTGTATAGCCCTAGGTCACAACAGAAGTCATCTCAGAGGACTTAACAAAACCATTGAAATCACCAACACAGGTCAGAGAATCAACAGTTAAAACACATGAAGAATACAGTATAAAGCACACACAGAAGAAAATGTCCATACATGTTGTAGAATGCTAAAGTGTCCTGATCATCACCAATCCTTTCTGTTGGACACTAACTGTCCAACAAGACCCTCCTGCATCGACAAGGAAAAACTCTTAAAAAACCCAGTGGGAAAAAGTGAGAAACCTTGGAGGAGAACTAGGGAAACCCACAGGGAGGGAGACCCATATGAGAAAGGGATCCGCTCCTCCGGACGGACAGACTAATGATCCAGGACCTAAGCTAGCTACAGAACGTGGACCAGTGGACGCTGAACGTGGACAGGTCCGGTGCAGGACTGAAGCACTCCCAGGCGGGTCGGGCGGGGCAGTCCGCAGGTGTAGATGGAAGAGGCCAGGCTCAGAGATCCCGTCATCGTACCATGAAACAGACAATGGGACAACGGGTGAATAGCAATGAACAAACTACAGTCAGAATCCTAAAAATGCTAAACAGATAAAGTAGGAAGGAGGAGAGGATAGTGCTCAAGTTACCATACTTCTCCCAGCAAACTGACTCCCTATGCAGCTTGACTAACACTCTGAGGAGTTTAACCTTCTCCGGTCTTACCTTCCTAGCCATATGCTAAACTAAAGAGGACTGTTTTAAACCTAGCCTTGAATAAAGAATAACATACAGCATAATATATAACATAATATACAACATAACACAATACATTATTGAATAATATATAACATAATATATAACATAATACAGCATATATATATAATATATACACTACATATTATATATTACCTAATTATATGCTAAATTAAAGTAAAGTGCTTTAAGCCTGGCCTTGAATGTGGAGACCGTATCTGCTTCCTTAACATAAATGGGAAGCTGATTCCACAGTAAAGGAGCTTGGTAGCTAAATGCTCTGCCACCAACAGTGACCTTTGAGACCTTAGGGACCACCAGACGTCTGGCGTTTTGTGAGCGCAACGCTCGACTTGGTTGATACGACACTAACGTGTCTTGGAGATAAGAAGGAGCCAAGCCATTTATGGCTTTATATGTTAAGAGTAGGATTTTAAACTTTATTCTGTACTCCACAGGGAGCCAGTGGAGTGATTTTAACACCGGAGTTATGTGCTCCCTCCTTTTGGTACCTGTTAAGATCCTAGCTGCTGTATTCTGAACGAGCTGGAAGCTCTTCAAAGAGGCTTTAGGGCACGCTGCCAGTAAAGCGTTACAGTAGTCGAGCCTTGAGGTGACAAACGCGTGAATGAGTTTTTCCGCGTCACTTTTAGGAAGGAAATTCCTAATTTTAGCGATGTTCCGTAAGGGGAAGTACGCCGTTTTAGTTGCTTGGCTTATATAAGCCTTGAAGGAGAGTTCTTGGTCAAAAATGACTCCAAGATTCCTCACAGTGTTACTGGGTATTATACTGACATTATCGAGAGTAACCATCTGGTTAGTGAGGGAGTCACGCAGGCGCTTCGGACCGAGTAGGATCACTTCTGTCTTCTCCGGGTTGAGAAGTAGGAAGTTAAGAGTCATCCACATTTTAAGGTCCTTTATGCAGGCACTGAGCTTTTCTAGCTGATCTGTCTGATTAGGCTTCATCGACAGATAAAGCTGTGTGTCATCTGCATAGCAGTGGAAATTAATTCCATGCTTTTTAATAATGTTTCCCAGTGGCAGCATGTAGAGAGTAAAAAGAATCGGTCCGAGTACCGAACCCTGCGGCACACCGAATTCCACTCCAGAATAAGGCGACGAGTCCTGATTCACATTGACGAAGTGATATCGATCTGATAAATAGGATTTAAACCAGCCAAGGGCTGTTCCTCTAAGACCTATATCACATTCTAGCCTCTGCAGTAGAATGCTGTGGTCTATTGTGTCAAATGCAGCACTAAGGTCCAGTAGGACCAGCACTGACACTTGTCCATTATCGGCAGCTAGTAGTAAGTCATTTGTGACTTTGACTAGTGCCGTTTCAGTGCTATGATGAGCTCTGAATCCAGATTGAAAGACTTCAAACATATCATTTTCCTGCAGGTGGCAGCGGAGCTGCTCAGCTATAAGTTTTTCCAGGATTTTAGATATAAAAGTGAGGTTCGAGATCGGTCTGTAGTTTGTAAGTATTTCTGGGTCCAGGTTTGTTTTCTTCAGAAGGGGTTTGATTACCGCGGTTTTAAAAGCTTGTGGGACATAGCCACATTGTATGGATGCGTTTATTATATTTACGATAGGCTCAATTATCAAAGGAAGTATGTCTTTGAAGAGCCATGTCGGGACTGCGTCTAACATGCAAGTTGAGGCTTTTGAGGATGTGACCACAGAGATCACCTCTGCTTGGCTCACAGCCATGAATTTATTAAGGCCCACTGAAGAGTCTAAGTGGGAAGTCACGTATGCCGCTTCAACCTGTCCACCACTAACAGCAGGAGCAACCTCCTCCAGCTTGTCACGGATGGATGTAATTTTATTATTAAAGAAGTGGAGAAAGTCGACACTGCTCAGTGAGCTTGGAATTTTAGGCTCGATTGCGCTATGGCAGTTTGTGAGTTTAGCGACGGTACCAAACAAAAATCTACTGTTGTTTTTATTCGCTTCTATTAAAGTTGAATAGTATTGAGTTCGAGCCCCGCGAAGGGCCTTCTTGTAGTTTCGGAGACCTGTTTTCCACTCCCTGTGGACAGGCTCCGAGTGGGAGTGGCGATATAGCCTCTCCAATTTTCTGACGTCCTGTTTTAAAGTGTGGAGTTGAACACTGTACCAGGGCGACGATGATCTAATCCTAATGGTTTTCTGTTTTAAAGGAGCTGCTGCATTTAATGCAGATTTTAAAGACTCCATAGTGTTGCCCACCGTTTGGTCAATGACTGAGGGACTGCAGCTGCTGTGAACAGGTTCACCTGCAGCAGTATTCAACATAGGCTGTATTAGTTCTTTGAACCTTGTGATAGATTTATCATTTAAGGTTCTTTTCATTATGGTTTTATCTTGCGGGACAGGAAAGTCCTCCAAAGCGAGATCAAACGTGATCAAGAAATGGTCAGACAGCAACGAGCTTTGACGCTGGATGTCAACATTGGAGACATCACAGCCGTAGGTCAGGACAAGGTCCAAGGTGTGGTTATGAATGTGAGTAGGTTCCTCGACATTCTGAGTAAAACCAACACCATCTAGTACGGCGCTGAAAGCTTTGTTTAAGCTGTCAGTGCTGTCGTCCACATGTATATTGAAGTCTCCAGCTATAACTATGTTTTCCCATTCCAAAACTAGGTTTGAAATGAAGTCAGAGAATTCTGTTAGGAACTCGCTGTAAGGACCAGGAGGTCGGTATAAAACTATAAATAGTACTGCTTTTTGTTTTCTCCACCCAGGACAGGTGATTGAAAGTGTTAAGTTTTCAAACGAGTGAAAAGCGTTGTTGGTTTTGGGACTAAGAACCAAGTTGGTGTGTGATATAATCGCAACACCACCGCCGCGACCTGTAGCTTTGGCTTTCTGGTAGTTAACATGCGTCGGAGGAGTGCACTCATTCAATCTAACGTAGTCGTCCTGTTGGAGCCAAGTCTCCGAGAGCGCAAACAGATCCAAGCCCTTGTCTATAATAAGTTCGTTTATGAGAAGCGATTTAGACGAGATTGATCTGACGTTCATTAAACCACATTTAACAACCCTACCGCTAGAACTATTTCTGTCTGTCTGAACTTTTATTAAGTTACTGTGTCTGACACCTAGGTCAGATTTCCTCGCATATAGTGCTTTAGACTTCAAGCGGGGAACACACACAGTTTCAATCTGACTAGGTTCTGAGGCTAGTAACTGAGCACACACAGGCACACACACACATGCACACACAGTTTCAATCTGACTAGCCTCTGAGGCTAGTAACTGAACAGATGGGGGCTCAGAGGTTGTGGCAGAGCAGCTCTGCACCCGGGCCTCAGTTCTGCATCGTCATTTGAGCCGAGCAGAACAGTTTAGAGCCAGGGCCAAATTCTTAGCCAAAAGGGATGTACCCGCCAACGTTGGGTGGATATCATCCGAGCGGATGAGACCGGGCTTTCCCCAAAAGGCACTCCAATTGTCAACATGAACAACACCACTTCGAGGGCACCAGCCAGACAGCCAGCGGTTGAAAGCCGAGTGTCTGCTGAATGCTTCTGCACTGCTAGTGCTAGGTAGGGGCCCAGAGAAGATGACAGTGTCGGCCATTGTGCTAGCCAGCTTGCACACGGCGGCGACTTGCAGCTTCAACACCTCGGACTGTTTCCGCCGAACGTCATTACCACCCGCGTGAATAACAATTCGACGGAAACGCTGCTTGTGGGTCATCATGAGCCTCAGATTCCCTTCAATATCACCAAGCCTGGCCCCAGGGAAGCACCGAACAGTGGCTCCTGGGATCTTAACACCTCTAACAATAGAGGAGCCAATTACCAGCGCATCAGCGACTCCATCGGCTCTCTCAGCAGCTCTCTCAGCGGCTCTCTCAGTGGGGCCTTCTTCCCCGCCCGGCCGCGCGGGGGGGCAGCCGGACAGAGCGTCCCAGCGATTGTAAATGCTGA